TCGGGCTATAATGAAAACCTTGATGCCACACTTTAGTTGTAGTACGGACTCGTTCATAATGGATGTTGCGGCAAATACCTGCTAATTGCGAATGATCAACGAAGTAATAGAAAACAATGAGAAACGGCGAACAGATGACTTGAGCGTTTGAAAGTAAGCTGAAAGACCTCGGGAATAACAAGGGATGATATTTTCTTTCACACGTCATTCTTGCATATACTTTAGTGATGTCGCAAGAAACTTGAGTTTTTGAACTTTAGCAAGCCGATTCAATAAATGACGTTTGAATCTTGTTTACGTCATGGTCAGAGAGCCCACAGTGCCAATCATCCTATTCCTCTCCCCTCCCAGATTTACCCCTGGACCACTCACTCACTCTCACCAACTTACAGCTCCCCCTTTCACCAATCACAGCCCCCTTCTGTCATACTGACATTCGTTGCACTCAGTTTGCTATCAAACTCAAGAGCAAACTTGGAAATCTCCTCCTCAAACCTACAAGTCACTATACATATTTTGGCTTATCACACCAACAACAAGAGCAATACTACTCAACGATTGCTACAACCATCTATGATTTATTACACATCATCGCTCCTTAGTTACTGGGCCGATATTACCACATAGCATATCTCTACAACCCTCTATGATTCATTACATGACATCACTCATACTACCACATGACATATCTCTACCAACTAGAGGCCTAGGAGCATGAACGATAGCTCTAAAAGCTCTGTAATGGTGGGTGCACCAGATATGAGAATCTAGCCACCCAAGGAAGGGATGAATTTACTAAGACAACACACTGTCTTAGGAAACAGAGCCAAAGGGTTGTAGCTTAGACTATTCCACAACGCAGCAATCAGGTGTATGATGTGGTGAAGTGGTTTAGACAAGTTGCAACAAATGTTGAGTCTGAGAACTCAGGGGTAAGTCAGAGGTTAGCACCTCACTGACTTTTCAAAAACAGAGAATAACAAGATCAATGCTTGGAAGCTTGGAAAAGACGTAGAAGTATGTGCTAGTCGATTTACTGTATTGTCTGCTTGCCCTTTCTTAAGGAAAGGGCAATCCTATTTATGCTAAAGGAGTGTAGTTCTCTCATTTTCCAAGACTTTCCATGACTTACCAGGCTTGGTAACTGTAGTCGACATAAGAGAATCCCATAGAACCATCTCTTAGGTTCGTAGCCTATAGGAAGTAAAAGGAGGTCCAAGGTCAGAGTACCCCTATAGACAAATTATGTCATAGACAAATTATGTCATAGACAAATTATGTCATAGACAAATTATGTCATAGACAAATTATGTCATAACTTAACCAATCTTGTGGGTAACTAAAGAGCGATGACATGTAATGAATCATAGAGGTTCGTAGGAGCTTTTAGAGCTATCGTTCATGCTCCTAGGCCTCTAGTTGGTAGAGATATGTCATGTGGTAGTATGAGTGATGTCATGTAATGAATCATAGAGGATTGTAGAGATATGCTATGTGGTAATATCGGCCCAGTAACTAAGGAGCGATGATGTGTAATGAATCATAGATGGTTGTAGCAATCGTTGAGTAGTATTGCTCTTGTTGTTGGTGTGATAAGCCAAAATATGTATAGTGACTTGTAGGTTTGAGGAGGAGATTTCCAAGTTTGCTCTTGAGTTTGATAGCAAACTGAGTGCAACTAATGTCAGTATGACAAGATCAGAGGGATTTGCTGCAAGCCATTCACAGGCATCTGATAGAGAAGTCCCTTCCATTAAATGAATTACATTTAATTACTATATAAATTACTATGGGGGGGAATGCCGAAGGTTTTGGTAAGGAGTAGCAGTAAACGTATGCAAGTTGAGGTGGCGCAAACTGCTTCCTCTCGCTTCGAGGTGGCGCAAACCGCTTCCCCCCCCGATTATGGCTTTGCTCCGTCTCGCAGTGGTCAAAACACTAAGGCCAAAACTCGCAGGGGAGGCAATTTACCAAGCCGATCAAGAATTGGATGAATACCTGGGTGCTGGTGATGAATAAGAGCTAAACTCATTTCACCATGGCATTGAGCCGAGTGGAGACTGGGATTCGGAGCTGGTATGGAAACGCACACGTCTATGCTGCATGGTGTATTCATCACTTGGAGACATGGAAAAGGAGGATGAAGATCACTATACCGAGCTAGAACATTCGCATCCCACCAACATATACTCTAATTTAATTGGAGTTGTCTCACCTGTAGTTGCTATCTTCCTCACTTCAATTCTCAAATTTATGGGCGAGCGGGCAATGACCGTAGCCGGTAGAGCCGCTTACCAGCATATGCAGTGTTGCCAGTAGTGTGATATTTGTAACGCTGACTTCTAAACGATAGAAGACACAGAGGTTTCTTGCGTAAGGTTGACTTGACAGAGGAGGCAGGGGATTAGACACAAAGGCTTTCCAAGTAACACGTTACAGTATTGTAAAGAATACTATATTGAGTTGAGCACAAAGCTCCTATCTAAGGAAATACTATCTACTTATATAGTGGCGTCCTGCCTCATGGGTAATCTGGATAGTTGGGGGATAGCTAGATATTCAGGATAGTTCGTGGATAGCTCAACTATCCAATATCCACTAGTTTCTGCAACTATCCATTAGCCCCGTCACATGGCAGCCTACCCCGCTTGCCCCCTGTGACTCACACATCACGTTACTAGGCCCTGGTCCTGTAACCATGACGTCACGTTACCGTAGCCGTAACAATATTGCAATATATTGCAAACAAAATCTACTATTGCACTGCAACAATATTTGAATTCCGACTATTGCACTGCAACAATATATTGCAATATTAGTATTGCAATATTGAAGCTATTGCAATATACTGATAGTATTAGATGGGCATCAGCCACGATAAGTCTGGATACCACAAAGCGAACGACGACTTAAAACAACGATTCTGGGCATAAGTTGCACAAGTTGGCTTAGGCATTAATGCGCTGGATCCTCTTTGGAATAAAACCACCCAGGAACTTTGCAATGCTTTTGGATTGTGTCCTTTGATACTCGGGAAGTTACGAATACCAAAGCCACTAGAGCCCAGCGAAATGGCAACCGAGACTGGTTGTATACGGGCCGTATTACTAGCCGTATACAGCTAGTATTGAGGCTTAAAATTTGAAACAAGGGGTTCGAATAACTTCAATTGATAGATTGTTATATACAGTAAAATCTCGATAACACGATGGATAGCATCACGTAATTTCATATCGTGTTAACAAGATTATTGTGGTATCAAATACACGTGACTACGTTATCCAACTGTCCAAAGTGCCTTGAATGACCTCATTTGCCTGCTTAACCTTGACAAGCCGCTCAAGCCGTTCTAAAGTTCTTAAATACTCCGTACTTAATACGCCACTATTCCCAGCCTCAAGAAACTCAATTAGAACTTGTGTGGCTTGTAAAGCTGACTGAGTTGTTGGCACAGGCAGCAAGACTTGCTCACTGCTTTCGTCATCATCTTGAGCTCCAGGATCCTCAACATCTTGAGTATAATGTGAAAGAACTTCTTGTAATGCCTCTTGATCTTGATCCTGCTCTCCACTACCGTGTATACAGTGTGGTCGATGGTTGAGCAGTTAGTCAGTTAGTTTAGCAGTTGGTTGGTTTGGTTGAGAAATCCTTGTAAATAGTTGGTTTAGTTGATGCGCTCGGAACTATCAGTTGAACTAGTTGATCAATGCCAAACTGCCAGTTCAACTAGTAGTTTGAAACATGCTAGGAGTGAAAGTCGCAATAAAAATTTCCGGTAATACTGCACTGTGGGAAAAAAAACATCCACAAAATGTCCCAAACAACGCTTTGTAGGAGGCTCTGCTGCTGCGCTGTCATCAACTGGCACATCAGAACTGAACAGCAGCCAGTATGACGACGCAGTTCTTCCGCAATCGACACAGACACCATCCTCTAATGCCTCAACAAGTGTATCACGAGGCAAATCCAAGGGAAGAGCCCGTGCCGCAAAGCTTGGGTATACAAATATATGAGGGATAGTGTTGATGTTCAGCATCTATTTCTGAGGGCAGATGGAAAGCCAGAGTGGCGCTGTCAATTCTGCTTGCAGTCCTATGAGCTGTCTGGTGGGACACTGAATCCGAAGCTGCATCTTAACAGGGAGCATGGTATCTTTGAGGATTCTCAGCGGAACAGCATGTCAAGAACGTGCAGCTGAGTATTGCAGCTGCAATGGATAATGCTGGTAACAATCCTTTCAAGCGCCGGAAACTTGAAACTGTTACAGAGTCTACTGCTGCCACTAAGCTTGATGGTAACACCATCGAGGTTCTTTATACCCGATTTATTGTGAGCTGTAATCAACCATTACGATTAGCAGAATCTCTCAAATGCCGAGCCTTCCTAACCTATCTGTTGGGAGTAATTCTGTGGTGCTGGGATATAGGGCCAAGAATGTATGTAAATCCCCGATTACCGTAATTAGTCCCGGGCGCACCAGAACAGAACGCTTCACTGTAGTACAGTAAAATGGAATAAATGAATCAATTCAATTGCTCCCTATCCTACGGGCCTACGTATCCTATTTGTAGGCAAAGGGGGAAGCCCAAATACCCTGTACAACTAGGGTAATTACCTGAGCCGTGTAGGGTTTCGGTGGCTGCATCAGACTCTGCACAACCATCTAGCATAGGAGTCGGACGGTCGCCTTGGGAAACACAGCTGTCTCAGGGCCAAACAGCCACCGTATCCCAAGGTCTGTGTCCACCTTCCCCCATCCAACAGCCCCCTTACGTAGTCCGGAGGAAAAATGATAAAATGAAATAATCGGGTGGCAGACTGGATATTACCAACCACCATGTTACGGCTACGGTAATGTGACGTCATGGTTACAGGACCAGGGCCTAGTAACGTGACGTGTGAGTCACAGGGGGCAAGCGGGGTAGGCTGCCATGTGACGGGGCTAATGGATAGTTGCAGAAACTAGTGGATATTGGATAGTTGAGCTATCCATGAACTATCCTGAATATCTAGCTATCCGCCAACTATCCAGATTACCCATGAGGCAGGACGCCACTATATAAGTAGATAGTATTTCCTTAGATAGGAGCTTTGTGCTCAACTCAATATAGTATTCTTTACAATACTGTAACGTGTTACTTGGAAAGCCTTTGTGTCTAATCCCCTGCCTCCTCTGTCAAGTCAACCTTACGCAAGAAACCTCTGTGTCTTCTATCGTTTAGAAGTCAGCGTTACACACCACCCACGCCGGAAACCTTCAGTAACCAGCTCTTATTGAGTACGAATATATGGAGGAAGGATCCTTCCTTCCTTCTTTTTCTCTTTACCGTGATTCCGGTAAAGCGCGAAAGCAATGGCCGCGCCGGCCAGGTCATTGCCTCCTGTCCTTTATGGACAGGGCCGAGGACTCGGTGTTGGACCCATCCTCTCCTTGCGTTCGGTGTTGCCGCCGAACGCTCTTCTCGTCACTGTAGGGTGCTGTCACTACAGCCCCCTACCATCGATACTGCATATCGACCAGCTTTCTCACCGCTGTGGTGCTGCTGCACAGCCCCCTACCATCCAGCGGCCTCTCAGTCTCCGCCCCCCTTTTCTACCCAGACTTCGGCGCCGATAGTGACCAAAATAGGGGTCGCCGAGCACGCCGAGAGCTTGGCGCCCCCGAGATTTTGCCTACAGCAGGCCTGCCTGCGCCGAACGGCGGTTCGCCTGGGCGGCAAACGGCCCTGTCTGCCAGACGGCAGGCTGTTGCCGTAGAGAGGTGCATTCTAGGGTCCTACGGGCCTCGCTGCACCAGGTATCCCTGTATGCAGTGCGCGAGAGCCGGCAGCGGGAGCGGCTTCGTTCAGTAGGTCCGCCAGCATATCCTTGGTGGGAACGTACTCGATAGCCATCTTGCCGAAGGCGATTAGCTGGCGTATGTAGTGGTAACGTACGTCGATATGCTTCGTCCGGCGATGGGACATCGGATCTGAAGCGATCGCTAGGCTGGCCTGGTTGTCGCCGAAGATCTGGACCCGATTTCCCCTGCCGCCGAGCAGTCTTTCGCGGCCGATTTCCTGGAGGAGCGTGCGGAGCCACTGCCCCTGCTTGCTTGCCTCGCAGAGAGCGATATACTCTGCTTCAGTAGTGGATGTCGCGACGCAGCGCTGCTTCGCCGACGTCCAGCTAATAGGCCCCCTATTCAGCATGAATATGTAGCCAGATATCGAGTGCCGATCGATATGGTCCCCTGCGTAATCCGAGTCGCTGTAGCCGCATAGGTGGGGTGGTATGCCGCTCCCTAAACCCTCTCCCCCGAAGGAGAGTCTTAAGTCCCGGGTCTTCTTCACATAGCGTAGTACGTGGAGAACCCCGTTCCAGTTTCGTATCGTAGGCCTAGAGCAGCTCTGGCTGAGCTGACCCCAGGCGTACGCGATATCCGGCCGTGAGCACAAGGCAAGCCAGGCCAAGGACCCTATACCACGCTGGTAGAGGTACTGGTCGGCTTCAGCCTCACCGTCATCGCCCTTGAGAAGGGCAGCGCGATCGACCGTCGCAGGCGTCAGGCGCGGCGTGGTCTGCTCAAGGCGGAAACGCTTGACGATCTCGTCAATATACCCTTCTTGGTCGAGGTATAACCGGCAGCTTCTTCGGTCGCGGGTGACCCTGATACCCGGTATCATATCCACCTCTCCGAGATCCTTGATCTTCCAGCGTTTTCCGATTCCCTTGACCACCCGGTCGATCTCTGGATGATCCTTGCCTAGGATCAGCATATCGTCGACGTATAGACCGATCAGGATCTTCCGGTCAGAGGTTACGAAGATACTGGGTTCGCTGAATACCGGTTCGAAACCCAGCTCGCCGAGGCCTTTACAGGCCTCAATATACCACTCGCGGCCGGCCTGCTTCAGGCCGTATAGCGACTTCCGCAGTCGCAGTACCTGGCCGTCCGGGCAGTATAACCCTTCGGGCGGTGCCATATAGACCTCTGCGTGGAGGTTGGAACGTGGGTAGGCGCTCAACACGTCGATCTGCCGGATTTCCAGATCCTCACTGGCACCGATCGACAGCAGGAGCCGGAGGGACTCTGCTCGGATCGTCGGTTAGAACGTCTCGAGGTAGTCATCACCAGGGATCTGACCGAAACCCTGCGCAACGAGTCTTGCCTTGAAGCGGTCAACCAGGCCGGTGGGTGTATATAGGCTGCGCACTGGGTACTCATGAGTCGAGTAGTAGAATTTCTACTCACCCAGCTGAGTTACTCACTCATATCCCGAGTATTGTTGAATGAGGATTACTCACTTGCCGGGTACCTAGTATAGGTCTTGGCAACCCAGTTATATCACGTGTTTGATTAGTCATTGAAAAGGGGGTGTGATCGTGACTTGACATTGATATCGATATCGTAAAACGCCATAACTCAATAACTCCATTCCCATGTCGTTGATATCCTATTCCACACTATAACCTTTGCCTTTAGGTACCAGGTTACCAGAAGGTTGCCAGAACTTATCTAACCTTCATTCCTGGGTGAGACATTTCCATCGATTAAGCCTACAGCTCCATGATTAAACATCATATCCCGCAAACGCCGAACCAATACCATATCCTTTGCCTGAATTGTCACTCTCTTCGCATGAATAGCAAGGAGATTTGTCACTATAACTGTTAGTATGTCCCTGTCACTATGTTCAAGTATCATACTCTCAAATTCTCGAATGAGGAAGCATTCGGCAGCTTCCTGGAGAGCTAGGATAGCAGATTGCTGGAAGCGAAGATTGGACTTGAAGTCTTGTGCGATTTCCCTAACAAGACGCTGGAATGAGAGCTTTGGAATAATCAGGCGAGTATCAAGTTGCTGTCTTCTGATATCGCGGAGAGCCTTGGTGCCTATATGTTTATTAGAGAGTTCTGGTAATCCTCTGGTAATCCTCTTACCAGACTTTGCACGGCGCATGGCCTTCTGAGCATGATTGTTGCAAGCTTGAGATGAGCGAACTGGAGCTTTTCTTGCTGTGCGCACAGCCTTTTCCTCTCCCTTTCCCTTTCCACCAAGCCTAGAGCCAGCCTGTAATCCAAGTGGCATCCTTGGTGCTGTGCCGCCAGTTGATCTCCTAGCAGTTTGCTTAATACGAGCCATTTGCTAACATTAAGATGAGTTAGTGAAGTATACACAAGACAAAGAAGTAGATCAAAAGATATATGTACTTACAGTGAGTTTGTAGCAAGGATGTTGTAGAAAGAGTAAAGAAAGAGGTAGAGGTTGAAAGGTATGTGTTTTATTTGAAGGCAGTGTGCGGCACAGATACCTGATTACCTGTGGTGTTCAGGTAATTACCTGGGTAATTACCTACCTGGGCTCATTCTCAAAATACCTGAGTATCCCGGTATTTTCAGATACTTACCCAGATACATGCCAAGTATTGCCAAGTGTAGCCAAGCCGCACAAATGCTAACGTTGAAATACTCGTCTTCATGCTTGATATGGTGATAATTGCCGTGAAAATGAGTGACTCTCCGTTGTCAGACGTGCCGACGGACCTTGATGGCTATAATCCTCACGATGAGCCAGCCCTACCAGGGCTTTTTACCCCTTTTCAGCAATCAAATCCAATTCCTGTCCGTCTACACCCGCCTAGCCAAATGCTACCGCCAACGCAGTCGCTGCTGTTCACGAAGGAACTATATTCAAGAATACTACTTGAGAGCAACCCGCCAACTATCAAAGTATGCTGTATGCAGCCTAATTGCGGATACTCGCCCGCAGCTCAAACCCATGCTCAAGCTGCTGCTTCAACTGGCAATCTTTGGAAACACTATAGTCTTAAGCATAAAGGAATCTATGATGCTCTTAAACACAAGAATACAGCGCCTTCAAGTCAATCTAGCAGCACATCATCATTTTTTGAGCCTCGGAGACCAGCGACCCATGAATCAAGACCAACAAACAATCCAGCCAAATATAGAGAGTTAGTGCTATCGTTTATAGTATCTAATAACCTGTCTTTACGCATTATCGAAAGCTATTCATATCGTCAATTAGTACGGTTCTTAAGTCCATCTGTGTTATCACTTTCGTCAAGAACATTGCACCGAGAACTACAACGCCAATTCTCATATCACCGAGGCATACTACAGCTTGAACTCCATTCTCATATTATACATGGAGGCCGGATATCCATAACGACAGATGCATGGTCTGCACGGAACTATACAGAGTATGCTGCTGTTACCGCTCATTGGATTAATGATAAATGGCAGCAGAAATCAAAATTGCTTGATGTGATACATCTTCAAGAGCCTATTCATAGCGGTGAATACTTAGCTCAGCAATTAGCAGCTGTAACAGATAGTATAGCTATTACAGGCGCTATCTTTACATGCACCTGAGACAACGCATCATCAAATACTGTGATGCTCTCAGAATATGAGAAATTGGCTAGCAACGCCCAAACATCAACTCAACAACCTTGGACATTTACTGTCAAAGAAGGCGATGTCCGGTGTATTGCACATATCATAAATATCACAGTTCAAGCCGCTCTTACGAGTTTAAAAGCAGAACCAGATGTAGAGACAGAGACATACCGGTGTGAGCAAGGTGCAGCTCGGATTCCATTTAGTAGAGATAGTCATGTGGAAGTCATGAATGCTCTTGCAAAGCTACGAAGACATATCTATGTCTTTCGTAATCGACGAGCATGGAAGGATGCTTTACAACGACAAGTCAAAGCTATAGGTTGGACATTTACTGTCAAAGAAGGCGATGTCCGGTGTATTGCACATATCATAAATATCACAGTTCAAGCCGCTCTTACGAGTTTAAAAGCAGAACCAGATGTAGAGACAGAGACATACCGGTGTGAGCAAGGTGCAGCTCGGATTCCATTTAGTAGAGATAGTCATGTGGAAGTCATGAATGCTCTTGCAAAGCTACGAAGACATATCTATGTCTTTCGTAATCGACGAGCATGGAAGGATGCTTTACAACGACAAGTCAAAGCTATAGGTTTAAAACCACAGCAACTATCACTTGATATGCCAGTACGATGGAATTCAACACATCGTATGCTTGATACAGCATTAAAACTCCAAATACCAATCACAGCAGTATGCATAACACAACAGCTTGATATTAGTATGAAAGATATTGCATTAACTACAGGAGATTGGGCTGTTATTAAAGATCTTGAACGACTGTTCTTAATATTTCTCAAACCATCAAGACGGCTACAAAGTGATACATACCCGTCACTTAACTTTGCTATTCCACTTTATCTTAAAATGATAAATAAAGTTAAGAAGATGCAACAAGAAGTTGGCGAGCACTCAGCAATTGGTATTGCATGCACAGTAGCTTATCAAAAGCTTCACGCGTATTATACTCTTGCAACAAATCAGCAATGTAAGCACTCAGCTGTAGCTACAATTTGCGATCCACGGATGAACCATACAGTGTTTAAAAAGATATATCCAGATAGTACAGATCATGTACGAATCACACGGGCAAGAGCACAGTTTGAAGATGTTTGTAGAACATATAAGACACGGCAATATCATCTTGATACAGAGCGTATTGAACGTGAAACAGCTCTTGCAGATGCATTAGGAAATGCAAATACTAGAGTGCAAGAACCAGATTCTGATGAAGATTTATTTGCATCAGAGGGTATATCATTTGAAGAACCAGAATGGAAACGATGGATGCTTGAACCACGGCCTGGTGAGCATACTGATATTCTCAAATATTGGTCTGCAAAGCAATATCAATATCCAATAATTGCTCAAGTTGCTCGAGACCATCTTGCAATTCCTGCGACATCAGCACCATCAGAACGGGTATTTAGCAATGGTAGCGATATCATTACTAAGAAAAGGAATAGATTGTCGCCATCGACAATTAGATATATGCTTTGCTTACGGAATTGGGGTTATTTACCAGATGCCGACAGCGACGGTGATGATGCAGATGATGAGGCAGAAGAATAGGAATAGGGGCTGTCTATTTTATTATTATATTTGTCACGAGTTTCACTTTTCTAGTTACATATTCTAGTTACATATCATTATCTATTTCAAATATCAAAAGCGTCATTTTTGTATACGGAATTGAGGCTCAACTACCTGCTAAAGTATCTGTAAATACCTACCTTACCTGAGCAAAGTCGCTCAGATACTTACCTTACCTGGCGAGGACCCAGATACTACCTGGGTAGTATCTGCCGAACACTGTTTGAAGGTACGCGTTGTAGTGTTGTTTAGAACAGTAATTATTTGCAGGTGAATATTCCTTGACGAATATAATTGTTTGCAACTTTAAAAAAACAACAACCTTACAACCAACCACCTTCCTTGGTTACGTTCCGATCTACACATTCTTCTTCTCTTTTGCGCTTTACCTCTTCACTAGGACCTCAAGTAAGTTTATTATCTTGATTCTACAGTCAGAACTTCTGATGATCTTCTGCTAATCACGTGTTTAGCATGGCGAAACGCAAGGCACCTGAAGAACTCTCCACTAATTTGAATACTATCAAAGCTCGCAACCGCGTCTCCAACCTTACTGAAGATGAGAAGGCTGTTCATTTAGCACTCAAGGCTGACCATGGCGATCTGAGCTACTACTTAAAGAAGTTATACAAGTCTGCAAAGTATATCGCTGCCTCTGCTGAAGACAAGACACGTCTACAGAATGAATTGAAGGTTGAGCGTATTCGTGTTCGGTAAGTTCCTTCTGGTAATCTCTGGTAGCCTTAATCTAACTATAAACAGGACTGAAAAGGGCACCCATGCATCTTGCATTGCGAATCAGAAAGTCAAGAATACTAGCGCCCCTTCTTCTTCTCCACAAGCCCCACCATCTACTCCGCCACAACTTCTGTCTGAGCTTGTTGCATTTGAGGGTATCACCAGTATCCCAATCGATGACGATCATAACAGCGAATGGGAGGATACTGAGGTTGAAGACGATTTAGAGTTGGAGCTTATGTTACGGCGCGACGATATTTTAAATGACGAGGCTGTTCTACCAGATGAGCTTTCTGATGAAGAGATCGCTAGCATCCAGGCTCTCTTAACTCAAGCACGCATTGATGTTGGTACCTCATAGTCTGGTAATCTTCTGGTAATCTTCTGGTAATACTAACGGTTGATAGGCCCATGAAGAGTCCAATTTCCGCAAGTGGCAACATTTCTGGGATAGCTGTATCCGCTCATATACGAGAAAGGCTGGAAAGCTGAGAAAGAAGCCTGAGCATCTCTTTGAATATATGCCATGGATTGATGTAGAAGAAGGGTACGTCTCTGATCATTCTAGCAATCTTCTAGAGATACTAATTGTTTATTATAGCACTTTTCACAACGTTATCCCACCACATAAATATTTCTGTTTGTACGAGCAGGCAGTTTGGACAAACTTTACAGCTTGGAAGTTTGGAAAGTGGGCCCAATTACCAGGACCTGCGCAGTGGTACCCAAAGTCTTACAATCTTGTCGACAACGGATGGTTACAAGTCTCCACTCATAGTTCTAGCTTCAAAGAGGCGTTCTTACTTGTCTACTCTAAGAAATTTGATAAGGAAAAGTGGGCTAAGGTATCAGCTGCACAGGATATGTTGTTTCTGGAGTTAGAGTAGAGGAGAGAAATGGAGTATTTGATTTTCCGACGCGAATAGGGGCTATAGAGATTTAAGTATTTCATCGTAGCCAGACTTCTGGTAATCTTCTGATAATCAAACAATTTGCTACTTGCCAAATGTCATCGCAATATTCAGAGTTGTTTGACTCTGACAATCCTATTTCTAATATATTCTCAGACTCTCTTCCCTCTTCTCAACGACTATCTTCATTAAATCAAATCCCTGCGGGCCTCGAATATACTGGCAAATTAAACCAATTCATCAAATGGACTAAGGATACACACGATGTATTCATTGAGTGGTGGAAGCTATCACGATGGTATGAACAACACTCAGATCATACTACAAAACTCCTTACGAAGATTGCATGGGATTCAACCAACCGGAGTTCTCAATACTGGAGAATTTATCACCAAGGAGCAGACCGGCTTTCTGGAGACCATGTGTCATTTGTACCTATTGTTCGAAGGCCCTTACGCATCCTGCAATCAAGTCTGCTGGCCCAAAGTCTATGGCAACACATCTTGCATCAGACATTTGCAAAAAGAAGTCACGGATGGGTAAGGATAGTCTCTATCAAATGCGAATCAATCAGATGCGACCTCAACAGGTAAGGATTACCAGATTATTACCAGAATTATATAGGCTAATATCTATAATAGGATCATATTCTCACACAAGAGGCATTTTACGAACAAGTTCTATACACAGTTATCTCAACTCATAGCTCGTTCCGCTCAGTCGAGGATCCTGAATGGAAAAGGCTTGCTATCTTACAGAATCCTCACTATCCACTACCCTCAGCAACAACTATTCGAAACCTCTTAACAACAAAGCTCACACAAATCGAAGAAGAGATGCTACAAGATGTTGTTCCTGGTTCAAAGATTGCATTATCGCTCGACTGTTGGTCAAGTGTTACTCGACTTTCATTTATGGGTGTTATTGCATCATTTATCGACCGTCATTGGAAAATGCAAGAGGTCTTGATTGGGTTTGAACCTATATATACAGAGCATACTGGTGCTGAGTTATGTGGAATACTTGAAAAAGTTATCACAAGGCAGCATTTAGAAGGACGAATTATATCCATTACGACTGATAATGCGTCAAACAACACTTCAATGATGAGAGATGTGGAAATAATGCTTGATAGTATTGCAGACAACGAGCATTTCATTGGAGGAAAAGTACAACACATACCCTGCCTAGCTCACGTTATTCAACTTGCCCTTAGTGCTCTCCTTGGTCGAATCCGGATTACGCCAACAAATCAAGAGATCTTAATGAACTGGGAAGAAGAGAATCAGATGGAGGGCCTTGCAAAGTTGCAGAAGGACAAGGGTATTGGATTTACACTTGGAAAGGTATATATTCTCTTGTTAGTTCTGGTAAACTTCTGGTAGTCTTTTCTAATATCTCATAGCTCCGGAAGCTCACTATCTTTGTTAATTCAAGTCAAACTCGAAGGAACAGGTTTATGACTTTGCAAAAGGCAAACATGAACCGGGGTCAATCATCTCAGAGGCTTCTTCGACTTATTCAAGATGTATCAACTCGATGGGATTCGACATGCCATATGCTTCTGCGAGCACAGCAACTCAAGTCAACAATCAATCAATATACTCGAGGCGATCATGGTGCTCACATGTTCAGACTTAGCGAGCTAGAATGGAAGCACATCGAATACATCATTGATCTTACAAGGCCATTCAACTTCTTTACAACAAACATTGGATCGTCAGCCGGACCTTTCTGCTATACACTTGGAGTATATCAAAAACTCTTATCAACGCTTGAAGGAACTCGGCACCGGCTACGGCATAAGACATATCCATGGGCAGCAAAGATGACTTTAGCAATCGATGCTGCAGAGAAGAAGATTAGGAAGTATTATAACAAGCTATACACAAATACTGGATCTATCTTCGCATTTGCTAGTATCTTAAATCCTAGTGTGAAGCTCTCACACTTTAACAAAAAGGTTTGCAAGCTTGACTTTTCAATACGAAATTGGGAGACAGAGTTTGAACAACAGTTTAGGACTCTTTATAAAGAGCAGTACTCTACAGTGCGAGTTGCGAGTCAATCAGGATTACGAGATGCAGATATGGATCCATTAGCCTTAGTATTGCAGCAAAGTCAGACATTAAATGGGACTCGGGGCCAGCGAGAGGAATATGTGAATGAGGCTGATCTCTATCTTGATGCTCGTAAGTTTCTGGTAATCTTCTGATAATCTTATTCTAACTTGTATAGCACATATCTACACAAAGATATTGCTATTTTGGCAACAAAAGGAAGAGCAATTTCCTGGTCTATCAGCAATGGCTCGTGATATACTTTGTATTCCTGCTGCTGAGTCTGGAGTTGAGCGAGTCTTTAGTGCCGCAAAGGACGTATGTGGCCACCGACGTGGTCAACTTAATCCTGAGACGATTAAGAGTATTATGCTTATATATTACTCTCGACAATACAAGAATCGTCAAGGTCATCGTGACAAGCTTGCAGATATGATGGACGTCGTTGATATGACTGAGGAGCAAGTCGAAGAAGAGTATGAGGCACAACGACAACGGATGTGCAATTCTATCGAGTTACAATATATCAGCGATGAAGAAGAACCACGATCAAATACACATATCCGAGAGACATATTCAAAGGTACAATATCCTCCGTTTAATCCTCAGCGGCCACAGCAACAGCAAGACTTATCACAAGCTGCACATGAAGAACGACAAATGCGCTACCAACAAGGTGAAGAAAGAGATAGGGCTGACCGTCTTAACGAGACCTTATACGACATCCCAGATGACGATATCCCAGATAATGAAGATATAAGAGAAGATGGTAATAATGAGGAGCCTATACTTCCAACTATTCATGACGATGAAGATAAGGATATGCCGTCCTCGCCACCAACGCCTATCCAACGCCCTCGGAAGACTGGAAGAGATCTACTTGATATCTTTCAAGCTACTCGTCAAGACCCTATAAATACTTTAGGTATTAGTAGGTCTGGCCGGCCTCATCAAGCAAGGTGGAAAGATGTTCTTGAGCATATATAATATAGTGTTCTGATAATCTTCTGATAATCGTGGTACTTAGATAGAGGAATATACGTGATTCGTTCTCACAGCTTATTAGAGATGGTAGAGTGATGCTGATAAATGTAATACTTTAAGTTAACTTACAACTGTAACCATAAAACAGTATTAATCGTATGAGGGACTGTTCACGTAATGCATATATCTTACACGTGACAGCCGAGTACTCACTGGGTTTTTACAGAGTAACTGAGTATTGGCCTCACTCACCGAGTCGAGTGAAAGGTTCAGCTACTCACCCAGCTGAGTAACCCACTGAGTGAGTGAGCCGAGTATTGGGCGAGTAGTGCGCAGCCTAGGTGTATACTTGACGTTGAACACCCAGCGACGACCCAGAACTCGTTTTCCGCGCGGGAGCTTTGCCAGCTCCCAGGTTCCAAGCGACTGGAGCTGCGCCAGTTCTTCCTTAACAGCTAGAGCCCAGTCTGCACCGTGGTCAGGGTCGTTGATCGCCTCGGAATATCGTTCAGGGATCGGTATTTTCGACGGCGTCGATGCCTCGAGGGCACCTTCGAACAGCCGCGTTGGTCGACGCTCCCTTTCGCTTCGCCGAACGATTGGTTCTTCAGCGGGTGGAACTTCCCGCAGAGCAGCTTCACTTTCTACGAGGATCTGGTCCCCTGGAGAACCCAGATCATCTTCTTCCTCGAGGAAGAGCTGGTCGCTGCCATCGTCCTGGCTACCGTCTTCGCCGCTGATGCGGTCCCTCCACCCCAGCAGCTGTTCGTGCGGGGTCACTGCAGGGCGATCCGCGATATCACCAATAGGCGGTCCCTCTTCTGGGGCGCTGCCGCTCTGGTCGCCGGGTTCTTCTGCTTCGATAGCAGGTTCCTGTGGGACATAGGCCCCCATGGGATCGAAACCTACATCCTCGGGCGATCCTTCATCGGAATCATTGCCCTGGAGGTCAAGGATCTGACTCTCCACGAACCTCACTGAGGTTGCAATAAGGATCCGGTCTCCGACCGGATCGTACAGCCGGTACTGCTTTGAGGTCGGCATATAGCCGACCAGAGCAGTCCGTATGGCGTTCGGGGCAAGCTTGTCGCCGCCCCTCTGTTCCATTGAGATGTTGGCGTATGCGACGCAACCCTAAACCCGGATATGGGCTACAGACGGCCGTCTGCTGCTGTATGCCTCCTCGGGAGACTTATCGTCTGGCCCAATAGGTAGCCTGTTACGCAGGTAACTGGCTGCCATCAGCGCCTCAGACCAGAGCTTCCTGGGCAGGTGTGCGTAGGCAAGCATCGCCCGGATCAGGGCCACCAGCGCTCGGTTCAGGCGTTCAGAAACGCCGTTCTGATATGACGTATACGGCGTCATATATTCGAACAGTATGCCCTGGGTAGGTCCAATATCCTTCTCTAGGGCCACGTACTCGCTAGCGTTGTCGCAGCGCACAATCCTGATCTTCCTGCCGGTTTCCTGCTCGACGCGGACCTTGAAGCCATGAAGACCGTCCGTAACTGCGATTTCGCAGTCATAACGTAGACCCAGGTCTTCCTGGTGTAGTCGTCCGTAAAAGTAACGAAATAGACGTTCCCACCGTGGATATCCGGCACCCGGTAGGGCCCCCAGATATCGCTATGGATCCTGTCAAGGGGGGCTTTTGCGTGCTCTGATGCCTTCCTGTTTATGACCCGCGTACTCTTGTTGAGCAGGCACTCTCCACACGGGTCCGCGAGGTCACCGATCGGCCCTGGTATACCATCGACGACAGTATGGGCCGAACTCAGGCTCTTCAAGCTCAAGTGCCCGAATCGCCGATGCCAGAGCATGGCTTCTTCTGGTGACATCGCCACTGCGCGTAGCGCAGCGACGGCGCCTTCCTAGGTGCCGTCAAGGACGTAGGAGTGGCCAGACCGAACGGCAGTGCCGATTACCTGGCCCTTGAGCTCAAGGAGCATCTTCCCGCTGCTGGTCGTACGGGTCATGATCCCCCTGTCTTGGAGGCCGGAAACCGAGATCAGGTTCCCAGCAAGCCCTGGTACGTGGAGTACCCCGTGGAGCTGGATACGGTGCTTTCCACCCCTGAGGACGATATTGAAGGCGACAGTTCCTTCAGCGACGGCTTGGATCTCCATCCCGTTAGCAAGTCTAACTGGGATTGGTCTGTCGAGGGGGGCGTAGTCGACAAAACTTTTCTCGTCGAACGTCATATGACGGGAACAGCCCGAATCCATGATCCAGGCCACGCTTTTGTCCTGAGCTTCGCCGACCCAGGCCGCACTATCGATGGTGGCGATCCAAGACGTCTCGGTGGATGGGGCAGTGACCACATTAGCGATGGCGACGTCCGCTCCTTCGGGGGGTGGTGATAACCCCTTTCCGCCACCAGGAGCGGCGAGCGGGCCGGTCGACGACCCTGCCGATGGGGGCTCTCCTCGCTACTTCGACCGGCACTCTCTCTCGAAGTGGCCGGTCTTCCCGCAGTGGTAGCACGTACGGGCCCTTCTTGGGGAGAACCTGCCTCCCCCGCCTCTGCCCCGACCGCTCCTTGCCTTTGGCGACTCATCGCCGGTCGAAGCCTGTCGAGCTGACTCTGCAACGGGTTTGGCCTCTGCTATCTTTTCCTCGATATCGAGGAAGTGCTGGACGATATCCTCGTAGTCGGTGACTTTCGCTGCCATAATCTGGGCGGCTGTGATATCGTACTTGCCCCCGCGCTTCGATAGGATCGCGACGAGGCGGCCAGACTTATTCAAGTCTGTGGGCGCTTCTCTGGGGTTCATCTGGTTTATCTCATCCTGGAGATCGTCGAGCCGGGTGACGATTTCGCTCACCGATGCCATCAGGGGAGGCGAGTACCTGTTGAAGGCTTCGGTCTTCGAGGATATCTGCTGTATCTCAGTCCGAGCAAACAGCTTCTCGAGCTTCTCCCATTTCTCCTTCGCTGTGCGGAAGCGGACGATCTGGTCGACGATATTCTGGGCGCATCCTGACAGGATAAGGGTGCTCGCCCGGACGCATCTTCGCTCAGCGAGCTGGTCCTTCTTGGCCTGAGCGAATAGCTCTTCCTTAGTCTTGGGCTTCGGCTCGGCCTCAGCCAGGGCATCTTCGCCCTCCTTTCCGCTCTTTGACTTAGGCAGGGGCGAGATCCCAAAGTCGTTGAGCAAGACGTCGTCGTCCAGATTATAAGCCTGGTCGATGGCGCTCCATACCCTCTGATCCATAAGGATAAGGCGCATCTGCGTCGCCCAGTTCCGATAGTTTGGCCCTGTAAGCTTCGCAAGCCGGGGCCGTTCGGGGGAGGTGGTAACCTCCATTTTTTTTTCGGGGCAGTTATCACTTTCTTAGTGAGGCCGGAATCCTGTCACTGAGCTGGAAGTCTGCTTGCTGCGGGCTTCTTGTGACCGAGGGTTCCCGGTGAGCAGTTCAGGTTCTCACTTTATCGATGTGAGGATTTCGGAATTAAATCGATTCCCGGGGCGTTCTGAGTGGCACCGGGCTCATAACCTGTTGGGAGTAATTCTGCGGTGCTGGGATATAGGGCCAAGAATGTATGTAAATCCCCGATTACCGCAATTAGTCCCGGGCGCACCAGAACAGAACGCTTCACTGTAGTACAGTAAAATAGAATAAATGAATCAATTCAATTGCTCCCTATCCTACGGGCCTACGTATCCTATTTGTAGGCAAAGGGGGAAGCCCGAATACCCTGTACAACTAGGGTAATTACCTGAGCCGTGTAGGGTTTCGGTGGCTGCATCAGACTCTGCACAACCGTCTAGCATAGGAGTCGGACGGTCGCCTTGGGAAACACAGCTGTCTCAGGGCCAAACGGCCACCGTATCCCAAGGTCTGTGTCCACCTTCCCCCATCCAACACTATCTAAATGCCGACATTAACACGTGGCTAGCGACGTCACACACAACAGTTGCTATTTGGGTCTTTATTTATATGACTGCTGCCAGAGAGCAATGGCTAGACTATAGCTCGCATTCCTGAGTGGGAGTGTTGAATTTGTCAGTACTGCAAGCCCCTGATCGAGACTGGGTATATAGTCAGCGATCGCCTCCTGTATTTTAGTTGAAGTAGAATAGAACGTCATCCCTTCATCTATTTGCTCTCAGTACTTGCATTTCAATCGTCCATCCTGAACTCTTTAGCTTAACAACCCTTTTGCGACTTCACTACGCGTTTGGCATAACTGCGTGATTATGCCAAGGGGCACTAAGTTTCTCAGTATAAGTGTAATTGAAAAATAAGACATCTGTTGTCATGTAGTCTCTTGGCTGATATTTAGCATTCCGGGAGTGAGACTCTGACTTAGTAGACAACAAGGGGGGAGGCAAGTAACCCAAGGGGTGGGCAAAATGGCATCCTTCGTAAATCGTGGAATTCCATCAGAGGTTCGCCTTTGGAAAGCAGTACAATGCCAGTAACTATGAGGTAGTGATTGAACCAAGGCACCCTCCCACGGCTATATCCATCTGTCCCTGAGCTCAACGTGTCTCAATCGGAGGACCCTTGTGACAGGGCGCCGAGGCGGGTGCTGCGGTTACGTAGGTCGCGCTGACCGGACAGGGCGCGCTGCGCTGGGCATAGCTGCATACGACAACAACACATGCATAACGCAGCATCGCGCTCGATCTAGCGGGTGTAAGGCCGCCCTCGGGACGCATCTGGTTAGTCACCATGTTGCGCAATCTTGGGGTCCCTACGTGATTGCGATGTGCCACCTCGGTGCGGGCCGCGTCTCAGCGATGAGGCTTGCGAGTCGCTGGGTTACAAGAAATGCTGGGGAGAGCACGCGGGCGCGGGGGGCGCCACTGGGTGGGAGGGAGTAGACGTGGAGCCCAAAGCCTTATCGATTCATCCCCATGGGGTGTCACGACTCGTGCGTGCAGCCCGGGAGTCCGAGGGATCGTTAATTGCTGGAAATTGATATAATTCCTACAATTAAAACTGATAAAATGCCGTAATGATAATTATAGCTCTGAGTGACCAAAACTCTCGATTTTTATTTGCATTTTTTTTGTAAAGATTAATAGGTGACAAGGTTTCGAAGCCTCTACTACCCTCTAAGTGATTTATCATGCACAGTCCCATCTTAAAATTTGTACTCTACAAGTTATATTTCTTGTCACGCGTACAAGCCTATCGAATCAATTACCTGACACGAATCCATCAAATTGTCTCAGACGACACAGCAGGCCGTCACGCATATCATATTTGCGCGGCCGATGGGTCACCTCCTACTGGCCTCAGATTATCTACCCCTTTTGAACCTGGCTCGTCCCCCAACAACCAACCAACAGCTAAGGGTTATCTGACCAAAGCTCACAGGCCACTCAAACCTTCCAGGGTTGCATTGAAGTTGCAACGACGCCGATATAGTGCAAGGCGAGGTTGAAAGCGATGTACACATTACCTTGGGCATTGCTACTTTACGAGTACGTCCAGGATCTTCTATCCCAAAGTAGATGACGAGCTAGGCTTGCATCAGATCGCCGACCGGTGTGCAGGGTTCAGGACGTTGACTCGCTCTACCAGGCAAAGAAATGTGGTACATTTGGAATAGTATTTTCGAAAGCTTCAGACGCTATGTACCCCGCCGATATGTGTGTTGCCGCCATTGACGATGGCGGCTGTGATCACGATCTCGCCGTGTAATGCATCAGCCCGACGGAAAGCTACTCCGACAGGTGGAGTTGTGGCCTAGCAGTCCTGTATTTTTGCATAATCTCTGATGTTACTAGGATCTGACGCTGTATACCTCATCGCCGGTTTTCCACATATACCAGGGAAGCGGCACTTTTCTGAGCCAGGTCGTCGCACCTCACATACCTCCACAGAAGCTCCCACAGCTTCTTTCCCTCAACACCTAGCAGCCTTAAGATCTGCAAGATCCATGCTGAGATCGGTTGGGCAAGTGACTCGTCATGTACCAGGAGCGCCACGAGGATGATACCAATGAGGCGACAATATATTGTTTGTCAGAGCTGAGATAAACTCTTTTCAGAAGGAAACTGTTTGTGTCGGTCGATGCCCTGTGCTTTGTACTCCCAACCACGCATACCCAGCCAGGAGATACGTGCGACACAGCATGGGAAGAAATGACTTGCTTCTAACGTCTTCTTAGATGCCTGCCATCTTCCATCCCCTTGGAATTAGCACTATCGGATATAGGAAGGGGGCCGGGGGGGTTGAGACTTCTTGTTCTTGGGGATGTCTCACTGTCCATTTGAGACGCACGTTTCTTAGTATCGTGAGAACCAAATTGCTCAGAAATATTGTCTTGCTCATTCCAGTAAATTTTCTTTGCTCGGGGGAGGCAAATACCATCCATTGGTGGCTGACTGCCTGGGATAGGGTAGAAGTGACGGGGGATAAACGGGTACTCATTCCAGCCTGAACCTTGCTGCATCCGCCTCCGCCTTTCAACAGGCGCCAGATCATATCGTGTTTCGGTTTGACAGAAATATTTTATCCAAACGACAGCATTTACCAAAGGGTCAACACTCTCCACTTTATGGATGAGGCTGCAAGGGCGCTATGCAGGTAAGCTGTGCCAGCGCCATTCCCACCGTTGGTGGTCATGTCGAATTCGGCCCAATTGGCTAGTCTCCAGTGCATACCATACCGCGCCTCTAAGAGGATCTACTCAGAAAATTCCCGCGATGACGGTCACATTAATGAGATAAGGCATCAGGAGGGGTGCTGTCCTTCCAGAACCCAACTGCGCCAGAGGCGTGCTCACGCTTACCTCGGCCATTGTTCCAACTCATTTCAACCTAATCACAACACACATGTCGTTCATTACCCATCCGCTCTTAGATATACATACGGATTGGTCTTAGTCCATAGGTATTTATCCCCAAATACATGTTTCTGCTGTGTTGGCACTTATCGTTTTTTTATGCCCAGTCCCCAAATTGCTTTTGCTCGCCCTCATTGTATTTGTACAACTTTCACTATGAAGCTATTGAAACCCACCCTTCGTCGCCCCCCCCTTGGACTACCTTGCAGCGCTTTGCCAAATATAGATGCTATCTCAGGCCGAGCCATACTTACCTTCCGATCATACGACCGGAATTTGTTCTGTGGGATGCATGGTGCCGAGTCCTGGTTAGGTTGCATATCCGCCTGCACCTTCGCGCTGGCCTCATGAGTGCCAGCTAGTCCTACATCAAGCTACCCATTCGTCACAATAGAGAATAAGTATAAAGATTCCGGATGCTCAACAGCTTCATCAACTTTTCTTCCAAGCTAAAACCTTCCAATAATTAGTCTCTTTACTCACCAACCACTCACTCAATTCCAACTATATATCCACATATATAGATATACACACTCAACATGTCTTATTCAAGCCCCAGTCCCGCAACAAGCACCTGGCAAGACAAGCTTCAAGGTGGGTCACAGTGCACAGATCATTGGCGCCATTGAATGTTGATTCTAATATCTCTCAGAGAGATGCCGCACCGCGCAAATCAACCCACCAGTTTTCAGCATTGTCTCCGACAGACGAGGTATGAAAGCTCAAAATTCAGTTTCCTTAAAAATAATCAGCTGACTTTTGTCACAAGGAGGCCGAACTGCCTGGTCTAGCACTGTCACGGTGTCCGGCCAAAGCATTGCCGCCCGATATTGGTACGACGGCCAATACCTCAACAACGCCAAAGAAGACGCTGCAGAAGTGGCTCTCAAGGCCCTTGGCAACTCCAGCCCAACGTCACCAACACCGGGCCGACACGGATGGTAGAAATTTATGCTCTCGCATCATCTGTGCGCCAGCGATTTTCGGAGCGAGACGAACACTTGCTTCCAGCAGCACCTGTATGATATGATATGAAACGACTTGGCTTAGATTCGGGATGCTCATCGGAATGGATATTGGGGCGTAGTCCGGCGCAAGAAGGAATATTGGGGCGTCCAGGAGAATATGTATGAGCAGGACTAGGGATTTATTTTGGATTTCAACGGATTTGCTACAAAAAAAAGGGACGTGTAGTGTATGAGGGCTTTGGAAAAGCACTTCAAAAAGCAGCACTATGAGAATAATACAGTCTGTTCCACCTTGTTTCCCGAGGCGTAATTGCACCATATTTTTTTTGTTCCTTGCCTTTGTCGACGCTATTTTGGTGCAGCATGCAGTAGTACCGTGGAGGGGCATGGGGCCAAAGATCTCCAGCTCCGCATGTCGCTGCAGAATTCTCAGGGCGCATGGCATGCGAGGCGACGCGAAAATTCCAGCACATTACACATCGCACTTGCGAGTCAACGCGCTGCCGTCGGCAGTCACGTTATTCTCAATTGGGAAATAGATGTGTGTTCTAGTGCCTTAAAAATGAAAATGGGGGTTTGACGATCCCATGAGGGGTGCTGGTGTGGCCCGAAGTCCGAAGACGGGGATATGTGGTTGTCAGCCAATTAGTTCGTTGAAATACTCCACATACCACAGTCAGCAGTGGGTGCACAGTAACTATTCCCACAAGTGAACACGGAATACCCAGAGTTACCAGGTCCACCTCGAGAACTAACCCCCAGTTTTAAACTGCAATTATCATATTTAGACCTTTATCGGAGTACCCAGTATCGAACTTCATGAACTCTCCCCATAAACTCAGAGAGTTTCACACGGAATACCCAGAGTTACCAGGTCCACCTCGAGAACTAACCCCCAGTTGATACAGCTTGCACAGTAGCTCTATAGTACATTCAAGCCTCTATACATATCTTACATCAACCACCAACTCCCCAGATGTTAACCCCTACAGCCTCCTCCCCTTCATCCTCGAATAAGTCAAGTTCACTCTCGCTGACGTTGCGGCCTTGTGTACCATCGCCCGCTTATCCCACACGCCGCTCTTTCCTTCTACCACACTGATAATCTCATCCGCGAAGCGCTGCGCAAACATCGTGGGCCCACTGCCACGGCTCTTCTTCTTGAGTACCGTATCCAGGATCCACATGATGGCTGTGCGGCGGCGCTGGCGCAGGCTCAGGGGGACAGGAACTGGCAGCGACAAACCACCTCCGGCGGCACCCTTCAGTTGGCGGATGCGCATGAGAGGTGCGATGGAATCGATGGCGACGGCGAGGTAGTTGATTGGGTTTAGAGGCAGTTCGATTGGGGGCGGGGAGCCAGGGACGAGGGGGCGAGCTTGAGACGGCACTGGGGGAGGTGCAGTGCGGAGCTGGTTGAGGATGTAGGACATATGCTGGAAAACGAGACAGGCGTTAGCTGCGTCATTCTGCCAGAATCTGGGATGATGGAAGTGGAGAACTACCCTTTGAGCAATGCTCAGCTTGCCGTGTTGCATGAGGAGGTTTGTGACCTGAGAAACGATCGGATCATAGCGCTCCTTGCGATTCGAAAATGGCTTCAACGGCATATCCGGCAGCGGGAATTTATGGCCCACCATCTCTGGCGTCATATCACTCGCGTGCCCTCCATTGACAATCGCCTCCATCTGTCCCAGTGCCAGCAGGTTATCAAAAGTCGTGGCTCCCTCTTCGCCCGCGGCCTCTGCACTCCTCTTCGCATCCGTAGGCTTCTCCTTCATCACTTCAGGCGCCTTCTCCGCTAGCTCGGGGTCCCGTTTTAAGATCTACTCCAGTCAGTTCGCCGCTTGGGTCGCGCGGGTTGGATGAGCTCATACCTCCTGCACTGGTGTCCCTTGGTCCAGCTCTGGTGTGGCTTTGCCGGTAGCCTTGCCGACCTGTACGGCTTCCTCGCTCGCATTAGGCAGGGCATCTGACGATGTCGGGTTTGAGCTCGGTTTGGGGTGTTTCGAGTCTGCGAAGGCGCGAACGGGGTGTGTGCGGAGGGTAATGGGTGTGTGACAGGCAATTGATGGCTGGGGGGCCGGCCGAATGTTCAGGAACCTTGAGGCGGTCCGTAGAGATATGCGTGGTGGCATCGCGGGCTGTATTGTGGAATTGACGATACTTCGTGAAGCTCAAAATTATTCGGAATCTTGGTTGGAGGCTTTGAGGCCTAGTAATTCAGGCAAGAATTATTTGAGCCTCCTTCGTGGAGAAGGTCGTGCCGCCAAGGCCTCTAGAGTGCCAGCGCATAGTGATAAATGGTAATTGTCACTACGAAGAGACCCCTCTGTTCCGTTCAGTTTCTTTTTGAAAAAAGAAACTGAACGGAACAGAGGGGTAATATAGATATGTATTTGTTGGCATAAACGTTAGATAACTACGTACGTAAAGGATAAACTAACACCAAAACTACAAACATCACAAATGGTAGCCATTGATATTACAATAACATCGAAGCCAAGTGTCTTCAAAACATAACTCTTTTTATTACAAACTTCCAAACTACTCCTCGTTTTCCATCAGTCCCACCCTCATGAGCTACCTATCCCAGTCCAGATCCAACCACACACGTGATATCGCGTCGCTTACGCGCCTCCCACACCACTCCCACCATCAACCACCCAGACACGCACAACTCACCATCAACGCGCCGCAATCCGCCAGGGCACAAAACAGGCCATGAACACCCAGCCCGCAAAGCCGCGACATGCCCACCGACGATGAGCCCTGACGCAACCGATGACGACCCTGCCCGTGCTGTACCCGAGCCACTGTCATGGGCTGAGCCCGACCCTGGGACGCTGGTGCCCACTGCGCGCCGTGGACGTGTTTGCGCTGCGCGAGGTGGCGGAGTATGAAGGTTCGTCTCTCCGTATGATTTCAGCTGTAGCCAAACCAGGCTTTGCGATCCGTGCCGGGACGACACTGGAAGGGGAAGAGTGATCTGGGCAAGTTTGTGGATGGAAGACTGACATAAAGCAGGGCAGGGGATTTACTTTCACCTCAACCACCCTATGAAATGGGTGCGTCTCACTGGGATTATCGTCGCGATGGACGAATTCTATAACCGCGTCTGCATCACCATCGATGACGGCAGCGGCGCCACAATCGAAGCTACATGTCTCGCACCCCCCCGGTCGGAGGCCACTGCCACAGTAGCAGCCATCGCAGTCTCCACCGAGCGCCCAGCAGACGACGCGATGGTCTCCCCCGACGGCCCGAAGCTGCGTGGCGTGGATATCGGCAAAGTGGTGAAGGTGAAGGGGGGTATCAGGGAGTTTCGCGGCGTGAGACAGCTGGCTATGAAGGCGATTGTTATACTGGGGGATACGAGGGCGGAGGTGGGGGCGTGGAGGGAGGGGGTCAGGTTTAGGGAGGACGTGTTGAAGGTTCCGTGGGTGGTGACGGGGGAGGAGGAGAGGAGGTGTAGGGAGGAGGCTGAGGGCGAGAAGTGGAGGGTCGAGGAAGAGGAGAGGCGGAAGAGGAGGAGGGAGAGGAGGGCGAAGCGGGAGAAGTATGATGGTGGAGAGGGGAAGGAGAAGAGAGGTAGGATGGAGAAGGAGAAGGCGGAAGCTAAGGTGGAGGAAGATGCCGCGGTAGTGAAGGCGCCCAGCGAGAAAGAGATAAAAGCGAGAGAGGAACGGGAGAAAGCGAGACGAGCGAGGGCTATACAGCGACTTGTTCGCTCCCGTCCGGAGGAGGCAGGGAAGTACGCTGCTCTTGGTTTCTGACAGTGATGTACGGCCTGGATGGCGTTATTGGGCTTGTATGTTATATGGGCGTACAGTAACACACGGTATTGTCAGAATAGGATAGATACCCAGAAATGATAAAATAATGATTCCCCCAACCCCTTACCTCAGAACAGACAGTGCACTACAAAAAACTGCGGATAGCCCGAGTTGTGAATGGTATCATCGAAAATGAAAATGTGTTTGTGAGATATTTCAATGGCTGACGGGAAGCACACTCAAAACCGGAAGATTGTGCACATCATCAGCGCCCGTTGCGAGGGACTCATGGCCGCCGACCCATCCTATCCCACCATCATCAGCGCCCGTTGCGAGGGACTCATGGCTGCTGACCCCCCTTTTCTCACCACCCCCCCTTTCTCTCCCCCCCCCCCCTTTTCTCACCACCCCCCCCTTTCTCACCACCCCCCCCATTCTCACCACCCCCCTTTTTCCCCCACACATCCACAGAACCAGAGCTCTATGAACAACCTTTCTCAACCCCGTTCCCCCACATATCTACAGAACCAGAGCTCTATGAACAACCCATCGCCGTCTCGGTCAAACTTCGGCCATTAATCTCCAATCCGAGATTTTGAATGTTGAAGCTGGTTATTCGTGCCTCATTGTGTTCTGGGTTCTGCTATTTATATTGTTCACGTGCATCCACCACCAGCCAGGGGCGTTGCAGAGGATACAAAAAGAAGGAGAATGGAATCTATATTTCCGGTTGGTAGAAAAGGTTGAAAAAATTGATGTTATTTTAAGCCGATCTATAGTATATATCAGCAAAAGGCTAAGTTACATATGCAGTGATCTCGCAGCCCCGCCCAGCCCATTCGAGCATCCAGCCAGCTTGTACAACTCCCCTCCCAAAATCGAGCGAAACACCCCCAACCCAGCAATTTAACGAGGCGCCAAAACATTAAGCCAGACCCAGCCATCTCCGTAATCCCCCGCGAATTCAACATCCCCCCATGACGCCACACTCACACTGCCCTATTCAGCAGAAAAGGACTGTGCACGCAATCCGTTCGCTTCAGGCTCCTTGCACCTCTCTCCAAATCATCCCCTTTCCTCTTCACACCCAGAGCCAGAGGCGGCCGTGGTCCAGGACCGCCCATCTGGCTCGGCGAGCCCTGCGTGCTACTGCTCATGCTAGACGCCGCAGCCACATGGCCGGGATGGGGTGTCACGGCGTCGTCATCAGCGTCGAAGATGCCGTATAGGGGACCGGTACCGATGAGCTTCGCGCCGGGGGGTTGCGGCGTCGCCGGTGGGCGTGAAGTTGGCATGAGCATCACAGATTCAGGTGCCATTGAGCTCATGCGAAAGTCGGGGCCCGCCTGTGATGATGATTGCTCGAGCTTTGGCTTGGCGGCTGAGGCCTGCGGATGTTCGTGGAGCTAGAGTGGTTTGACTCGTTAGTTTGAAGTGTGATCAAAGGATTCAAATACAAGTACATACGTATTTCTCTATCCCAAATGTAGGATTAAGATATTCCTTGAACAGTCGCCCCTTTTCCTCCGCTACGAACTGATAAGGTGGTATCTGAGACCGCCTGTGATAGTCCTTATGCTTCTTGCTCTGTGGCTTGCTGACTTTCCGCAGGTACTTCTCCTGGACTAGCCTCTGGCTCACGGCTACAACGTCTTTCACCAGGCAACCTAAATAACGAACGGTAAGTATCTCACTATAATACTCGGCTATTTGTGGCAGCTCACCTATGCGGACAGCCAAGTCGGCTTCTTTGGGCGGATACTTCTCCATAGATGCAACCCAGACAATTTGTCTCAATAACCACAGCCCTTGCATTTCATTGCTGAGATCAGGCTCAGCATGCAAAAGACATGTGTAGCACACATGGGTATCCATGACGTCTGTTTCAAGGTATCCGTGGCAATGAAGGTGTTGTCTCTTTTGACAGATTTCACATTGTACCTGTAATAATCAGTATTGACAATGAGTACATGGCATTGAATCTTACAGTCATGCTGGCAAATTGCTTTCCGCAATGGCACTCTATGTCTTGGGCTTCACTGTGCGAAACCTGAACCTGCCCATTCCGCCACTTGTGGGTTGGATGGAGATTTCGAATAGTTTCACGGTCGAAATAGAATCGTCTCTCATCTGGTGGTGGGATACCTTGTCCGGTGGGTGCACGTGGCGGTGTGGGTAATGATCCCTCTGAAGGACTTGTTTGTGAGTGGGTATCCTGCACTCGTTGGGTATCTCCAACTTCTCGTCCCATGGGGACCTGCAATATCGTCAGCAAGGATCCGCACAAAGACAGACTAAGTGTACGTTACCATTTCGCGCACTAGTTGTATTTCTGCGCGCTCCTGGGTATTCAAGAAGCTGGAGCCATCAGAAGGGGAAGCAGTAGCTGGAGTGGACACGAGGTTGCTGTCGTTCAAGATCAGCTGGGAGTTGGACCGTCTCGCAGCCCGGGAAGACCCATTTGAGCCATGGGCGGCGGTTGGTAGCGGAATGACGAGGCTCATTCCAACACTAAACAGTTAGCAAATGAGGCCAAAATACCATAGGGACATACCGGTGATATTTCGTGTCCATGTCACCAAGTCTCATGCCATTATGTTCGTCCATTATTATACTCGGGTCAGGAGCGACGACAAATCCCATCGGACGATAATCGGGTGGGCAGGTTTCGTTGTAGGTCAATTGCAAGCTTATTGTTGGATCTTCTATAAAGGAATCAAACACTGTCGATGGCGTGGCTGTGGGGCATACCTGGGAATTTCATTGTTTCTTGGGACATCGTTATGAGTTTATGAAACATGTTCCTCAAATTATGCTTGTCCTCTGTTGTTACTTCGACCTCTTGATTTCCTGCCAAAATGTCAAGCTGAATCTCGCCTCCATTCTTGGAGTAGCTGAACCTCAACACGTAAGCTACAGCTATGGTGTCGCGTGACACTATCCCCTTGTGGAAGGTAATCTGAAATGTTGCCAAATATCCATGCTTGATGGCGTCGCAAACTCCGTCCTTTGTTTCGTAAGTAGCGTGAACGGTGGGAAGGGAGTGAATTCTAACCAGCCACAACCAGATCTTATCGACCTTTGTAGTTTTCCCTCTGAGGAGAAACTCCCAAGTAACCCTTGCTTCGCCGGTTCCCTGTTGCCTCCTTTCCCGAATAGTTTGAGCTAGGGGCTTTATAGTGTAAGCGAAAGCCGGATCGTCAAGGTTGTAACTGCGTGTCTCGAAATGATCGTCAGGAAAGAGGTTGTTGATCCATAGTATGGTGGAAAGCGCTGCTGAGACTGTGGTTTGGATTATGTGGAGAGACTGCGCCTGGTTGATCTTCGATACTGTCTGGGTGGGGTTGGGAATCAGCATCACGGCGGTTGAGGCAGCAGCGCCTTGGCATTGACGTGCCGACCGTGTTCTCATCTTCACGACGAAGATGGAGATTATGGCAGGACAATGATGAAGTTCCGATTGAGTGAGAGGGAGAGGCAGAGCAGTGAATGATTCACGAGAGCAGAGACGAAATTTGACAAGTGAGGTGAGAGGCTGAACGAGGAAAAGAGAATGTAAAGAGGAGGAGGAAACAGATGAATACAATATGAAGAGTAGACGAGATGGAAAAAGGTGAATACAATATGAAGAGATGGAAAGAGGGGAGAGATGGAAAGAAGGAAGAGATGGAAAGAAGGAATAGATGAAAAGAGGGGAGAGGGGAGAGGGGAAGAACGGAAGAGGGGAAGAACGGAAGAGGGAGAGGGGACAAGAACCGAAAGAGGAAGGGCGCACGTGCAGACGCGCTGTGTACCAGAGAGTGTATGGCAGACAAAGCAGGCAACACAATCCATAGTGCTGTTGTTTACGCTGAATACGGAAAGAACGAAAGGAAGATGATCGGTTCTCAGTATCCTGCAGTAGGTAGATGATAAGATCTCGGTGGTCTACAGAAGGTGCAGTTGGTAGAGTATTGTCTTGTGTGATATTTCAAGGAGCAGAGAGACTATGGAGATCCTAGAGAGGAAAGAGATGCCGTAGAAGGTTGACGGAGTAGAGACAGCAGAGTGAGCAGAGTGAGCAGAGAAGGACGATGGAGAGTAAAGAGCAGAGGAAGAGGAGAGAGAGCAGATAACGAGAGAGTAGAGAATATACAAATCATGGGATATACACGTGTGTAAAATGCTACAGAATATAGCAATATAGCAACATAAATCCAAGAATAAAGCGAAATGGGAATAACTGATCCTGTCGAACAGAAATTATAAGTTATTCCTTTATTCTTGGATTTATGTTGCTTACCCCACGCTTAACCGTATCTAGTTAGCTCGTCACATCACGCTTTCTGTATTTTAGTGCACACTACGGACTCTGTCCTACTGGTTCCTCCTACTAACTTGGCACGGTACTTCGCCCGTGTACTCCGCACTCCGCGATTTACAAAGTACCCCGACTAACACTAATCTTAGCCAAGACGAGGCAGAGTTGAGTCGAGGCATCTCCCGCCGCCTGCTCGACTAAATCCCCGAAGCGCCTGCCATCCTCCACCACCACCACCACCACCACCACCACCACCACCGCCGCCACCACCACCACCACCACCACCCCCCCTCCACTCCACTAGCTTCCTCTTCAAACTTCGACTTTGACCTCAACTTCAACCTCAACTGTCAGCCCATTTACGCCCCGCGTTAACATAACAACCCCAGCTTCGTCTTCTCCCTCGGGCTCTTTGGGGTAAGGTCAGACGAGGATTGCCGCCGTTCCTCTTTCCACGCGCCCCCCGCCACTCATCGTTGCCGTTTTCCTCTCCGTAATCCAACTTCGCCTCCTCCGCCAACCCGCCCCTCCCTTGCCGATACTACCATAAGTCAGTACCCAACACGATATCTATCGACGGCTGCCATCTTCTAGCTGTTGCTTCGAATACCGGAACTTTAATTACTGGAGTGTTCTACGATCGTCCCTGTACACCAGGTTCGGCCGTTCTAGCCGCCTCGAAACTTATCCTTATCGCAGGAGCCGTCAAAACGCGTACCAGGTCTCGTGTCCCACAGTCCTGAGCGCGTTTCGAGAACACAACTTCGGCCTTCTATATATTTCTCGTCCGTCTATCGGGTTTATGCGTCTCTATCTTTAGAAACCTGGCAGCTGAATATGGAGCCGCCCCGATGGCCACCAGCGACATGCCAGGCCACAGTGGCTCAAAGAGCCAAATTACTCCCGCCAAACCACATCACCACTGTACTCTCGCCGAAGGCAACTGCTAGTCTACAAGATTCTCAGCCCGATGGGTGTGTAACCCCCAGCCCCCAAGACGAGATGGCTTGGGACGGACCGGTCAACCAGGAGAGCCGGGATTCGTCGACATTTCAAATCGATCTTGCCGAATGTGTCGAGACGAAGACAGTCACAACCACCACAACCACGAAGAGATCATATCCGCCTCTATTTGTCCGACCGCCTCTGCCGTTGGAGAGTCTCGACTTGAAACAATACCCGCTGGCAAGGAAGTCAACGCCGGAAGCCATCTCAAGCTTCTCCTACGAGGTTAACGGCGAGGTTGTGCACTTCCGTGAGGACCGCAAGCCGTTATCCTCCGTATGCTTCCCCCCCCCACCTATCTGATAACGAACCACTGACTTTTAATCCTCCAGGCATCTCCATCTTCATCCAGACCTCGGCCACCTCCCACACTACAGTCACGAGGACTCACAGGCTTAAGAGCATACGTAACTCCCGATACCACCAGATCATCAAGGCGCTTCCAGAATGCGGACGAAAACTCACAATCATATTTACCAACAAACCCAAGGTCTCCCGATTCATTCCTCGGGATTTCGGACGCCCCGCGACGCCAATCCAGCCTGGAGCAACCGCCCTTGGACGCCCACTGTTCTAGCTTCCCACACCGGATGATCTCATCAAGCAGACGCGCCTCGTTCAACCCTGCCATGTTGTCGACTCCTGATACCGGTCACCGCGAAACAAGCCCGCTCCAGACCCAGCTGACCTCGTCCGCTACCGAGTCGACACTGAATAGCTCTTTCGAGGAGGCCACTAGTCCATCCCTTACTGCTAGTCAAGGCTCGTTCCCCAGCGCCACTGCCACACCGCCTATCGCAGAATCAGATCTTGAGCCTTTTCCATTAAATGATGATTCTTCGGGGCCATCCGTACTCCGGTCGTCCGTAAGTGCGGGAGGAGCCACCCATGGGGCCAGCTTGCCAAGTCCAAGCCTATCACCAACTTTAGCTGCGGCGAATCTTCATAATGCTCAGCTGGTAGTACGAGATGACCCCGAATCACAGGCTTCCGGCAATGCACTTTTGTCGGCCACAGCAGAGTCTAAGTCGACATTTGAGTCACTGGGCCATGCCAATGAACAATATGCATTGGCAAACGCACCTCCACGGAATGCTATGGATGTGACATCGATGCTAGAAAATTTCGACTCGATGCCCTCGGAAATGAAGACATTCATGATGTACCAATTTCTTCGTCGCTGCAATAGAAAGACCCTACATGTGATTGCCGGGGTCGTCAATCCAGCTTTAAAGTGCGACTTCCTCGAAGAACTTCCGACAGAGTTGAGCCTACAGATTCTTAGCTTCCTTGATCACCGGGACCGCTGCCGTGCTGCACAAGTTTCCAAGCGTTGGAGAGATATCAACGACACGAACGAGGCTGGATGGAAAGAACTCATCGAAAGACATCGCTTTGTTCTCCCCGAGGGCGAAGTGGAGCGGGCGATCAGGGAAGGCTGGGGCTGGCAAGACCCGCATGGTCCAGATGGCTGCGAGAAAGATCTCAGCCAGCGTCCTGGGTCATCTGACGTGGATAGCATTCCAACTGCTACTAGATCCCATGCTGGCCACTCCGGATCCCTACGCCAAGGAGGGAAAAGGAAGAGGGCCCACATCAACTATGGACCAGAGAGGTCAAAGAGAAGAGCCGTTTCTGCAGAGGTCACAGAGAGGCCACGACACACAAGCCTAGCTTCAAAATACCACAGCTCGGCTCGCAAATCTGAGGGCCCTAACGCTGCCGCAACTGCGGCGGCTCTAGCAGTGCCAGCCCCTGAAATTGGACTTCCTAGTTTGAGGAAACTTCACCTTTACAAGTCCCTCTACAGGCGCCACTTCATGTTACAACGCAGTTGGATGAGTGGCGGCAAAGTGGCACCTCGACATGTGGCTTTCCCGGCACACCCAAGACACGTCATTACCTGTCTCCAGTTTGATGATGACAAAATAATTACTGGCAGCGACGACACATTTATTCACATATACGACACGAAAACGGGTGCCCTTCGGAAGAGACTGACGGGACACGATGGCGGAGTATGGGCATTGCAATACGAAGGCAATGTCCTCGTCTCAGGATCAACTGATAGGTCAGTCCGTGTGTGGGATATTGAAAAGGGCTTGTGCACCCAGATTTTCCACGGGCATACATCAACTGTTAGATGTCTCCAAATTTTGATGCCTCTCGACACTGGAAAGGTCTACAATGATAGGCCAGTCATGGTTCCCGAGAAGCCTTTGATTATTACAGGTTCCCGCGATGCACAGCTCCGAGTATGGAGATTGCCGGAACAGGGGTCTAAGAAATATCTCGCAGCTGGCCCTCCCGCGAATGATTCAGACTGTCCATACTACGTCCGTACTCTGCAAGGCCACACCAGCTCTGTGCGTGCTATCGCTGCCCACGAAGACACCCTCGTGAGTGGCAGCTACGATTCGTCGGTCAGGGTATGGAAGATCTCCACTGGAGAGAGCGTACACCAGCTTCGCGGTCATATCCAGAAAGTGTACAGTGTTGTACTCGATCATAAACGTAAGCGTTGCATCAGCGGCTCTATGGATAACACAGTGAAGATCTGGTCACTGGAGACTGGAATGTGCCTCTTCACCCTCGATGGCCACTCCTCCCTAGTGGGTCTACTGGACCTGAAAGACGAGCGCCTGGTCTCAGCTGCAGCGGATTCTACGCTGAGGATCTGGGACCCAGAGAATGGGCAATGCAAGAACACGCTTACCGCTCACACCGGTGCCATCACATGTTTCCAGCACGATGGTAACAAGGTGGTATCCGGCTCGGACCGCACGCTGAAGATGTGGAACGTCAAGACTGGAGAGTGCATTCAAGACCTCCTGACGGATCTCAGTGGAGTCTGGCAGGTGAAATTCGACGAGAGAAGATGTGTTGCAGCTGTACAGAGAGAAGGGTTCACGTTTATAGAGGTATGTGCCTTCATAGCATTTGGGTCTTATCAGCATTAACTATCTAATAGATACTTGACTTCGGTGCGTCTCGAGACGGAGTACCCGCCGAAGATCGCAACAACAGGATCTTGCTACAGCCATCGGAGTATGACAGAATCACGGAAGACGACGAGGTCGTGGCGTAGAGACTTATCATCATCATCAACATCACAATGACTATCATCACAATCATCATCATAACGACTATCACAATCACACAATTATCATCATGAAACAGCACACAGACACAAATCGAGCATTTTATTGTAAGGCCTTTGTCAGGCGTTTTTTGTTGGACGTTAGGTTGGGCAGGGTCATGCATGGCAGCGGGGTTTTTGAGCAGGCACGGGAGGGATGGCTCTGTCTGTGAAGCTTGTAGCTCCTAAAATAGCGAGCCTTTGGTCGTTCAGATACCAGAATAGCATGTATAGAATAGCTTGTGCCTATCATGGCTCAATAAGAGTGTTACTTCGCTGTGTAGACATACTATTCACGATCGGTTATCCTATTTTTTGCGTGTTATATGAAAGTGACTTGAAATCATCGTCATTGTATGTCTCTTATGTGAGAGGTGACGTCTAATAATCATTCTGATTAGCTACCCTTGTCTGGATAATTGCATATACATATATGTATATACGGAGTATAGACTGCCGAGATAGCTTGGACGGAGACCCGTCGGCCCGGTCGGCGGAAAATTCCGCCGCGCCAATCGCACAACTCTTCTAGATCTTTCCTTACAAAAGGGCGCGCCGTGAACAAACCCTTCAAAAACAACTTCACCTTCCCCCACCAAACCTCCTCCTCTGTTTTCCTCCTGTATCACGATTCTTTGACGATTTTTATATAATTTTTATGTCAGCGCCTCTCCTTCCTTTCTAGGTATGTCCTTTGTCGCTTTCGCTGTGGACAATATACTACCACAGTTCCGTTTTTTTTCTTTGTCTCTTCCCCCTCCCCCCAAATGTTATGACGATACATCAGCTGGCACCAGTCATAGAGCGAACTTGTACTCTTTTCATTGATGACAATGCTTTGGCTTCGGCCTTCTTCTGAACCTATTCAAACCTCGAGCTCGATCTTTTGCTCACTGCTCTTTCGGGAACATCTGCTAACTCGAGTCTTCAGTGAACACATCCATCATCCCCTCCCCGTAAAAACCCAACTCACTACAGAACCGCCACAATGGTGCTCCACAACCCCAACAACTGGCACTGGGTGAACAAGAACGCCGCGGGCTGGACGAAGCAGTGGCTCGAGGAGAACCTGGCCGATGTGCAGGCCTCGGTGGGCGGCGTGACGGCCAAGATAGATAAACTGACGAGCATGGACGGAGATGTCGACGTGAACCAGCGCAAGGGCAAGGTCATCACCATCTTCGATGTGAAGCTGGTCTTAGAGTATTCCGGTTAGTTAGCTATATTACCACATCATGATTTTTTTTGCCGCAAAACAGTTTGAACTGATCTGATTTTTTTTGTCTCGCAAAGGGAAAACCAAAGATGATGAGGCCGTTAGCGGTAACATCACCGTCCCCGAGGTCGCCCATGACACCGAGGAGGACGAGTATGTCGTATGTCCTCCCCCCTTCCTCCCACCCACCATAGACCACTCTCATTAACCCCTCTCTTCTCATCCCAGTTCGATATCGACATCTTCTCCGAAGCCTCCTCCAAGCAACCCGTAAAAGACCTCGTCCGTTCCACCCTCGTCCCCCAACTCCGGACCATCTTCGCCAAGCTCGGCCCTGCCCTCGTCAGCGAGCACGGGAAAGATATCCAGCACGCCCCCTCCGACAACCCCTCCTCCGGCTGGCGCACCCCAACTCACCTCCAGCCCTCCGAAGCCGCGACCGCCGCCCCAACCACAGCCTCCAACAAGACGTCCAACGTCAACACCACCACCGTGACCGCTAGCGAGGAGTTCCGCACCACGGCCGCGGAGCTCTACGCCACTTTTACCGACCCGGCTCGCATCGCGGCGTTCACTCGCGCGCAGCCAAGGCTGTTCGAGGGCGCGAAGGTGGGGGGGAAGTTTGAGATCTTTGGGGGGAATGTTAGTGGGAAGTATGAGGTTCTTGAGGAGCCGAGGAGGATCGTGCAGAGCTGGCGCTTGGATCAGTGGCCTGCGGGTCACTATTCGACGCTCGAGTTGGTGTTTGATCAGAATGATGTTGATGGGGTTACGGTTATGAGGGTCGAGTGGAAGGGGGTGCCGGTCGGGCAGGAGGAGGTGACGAGGAGGAACTGGAATGAGTATTATGTGAGGAGTATTAAGACGACGTTTGGGTGAGTGATTTGAGAGTTCTGATTCGGGTGGAGAGATGAGGAGCAAAACTAACAAATTTTCGCAGATTCGGAACTATCCTGTAATCGCTGACTTGGATCAAGCGCCGGATAGGGGTCTACATGTGTGGCAGGCGCATAGATGAGCTTCCATGCTCAATGGGAAGCGGAATACACAGTCTCAGAATACTCTAGCAATAGACAAAGAATACAACGTCCCAAAGTCCTTTCTTAATTCAAAAATGCCACTGCCGCGACTTCTACCGTCTCCGTGCTGGGCGTTCCTAGCGGGGAATGCTCCGGTGTCTCCTTGTCCGTATCTTCTCCGCCTCTCTTCGCGCCGTGCCGCTATGAGGCTATATGGCAACCTCCCTCCGAGCCGATGATGTTGGAGCCATTCCGACAACGGGCAACCGTTCCGGCCATATGAGCGGGTTTGTAAAATGGCGGACGGAAAATTTTGCGACCAAAGGCTAGCACAGCTGAAGTAAGTACGAGAGCGGGGTTCCTCGGCGGTGTGTAATATATAGAAGTTGGTCCATACGGGCCTGCTCTGTCTCACCCATCCCTTTGGTCGGCATCTCCATCCATCTAACAGGTACTTTTGATCTATGTATTCCAGCTAAAATTATCACTTTTGGCAGCAACAATCAACAACCAACGCCCTTTTTCCAAACCAGGATACTCTGCTGACTCACCAGCTTCCGCCCTCATTGGGCCAAGTTGCCCCCATTACCTCTTCTCAGAAACCAGAGACCTTTAAAGACTATACACCCTCAGTAACACTTCTTAAAGCATTCTAAGATGCTTATAACCATGATCCCTTTGCCAAAAGAACTTTGGAATACCTCCAGAAGAAAGGTTCCTCTCTTGAGAAAGTTGGACTACAAAATTTCTCAAAAAATCAGCAAGGACTTCTCTTATTCAAGAGCTATATCTATGTCCCAAGGGATAAACGATTACAGCTACACCTCCTACAGCAGTTCCATGATGCTCCAGCTGCAGGGCACTTTGGCTTTGCAAAAACTTATGAACTTCTAACAAGAAAGTTCTACTGACCTACTCTAAGGACTACTCTTCAAGACTATATATCTTCTTGCACTGCTTGCAACTCGAACAAACCTACACGGCAAAAGCCCTATGGCCTCTTGCAGCCTCTACCTATACCAGAACGCCCATGGGACTCCATATCCATTGACTTTATAGTCAAGTTGCCTTCTTCTATCCCAAAAGGGGGTGCTACCCCTTATGACTCTATCCTTGTGGTGGTAGAAAGGCTCACAAAAATGGCACACTTTGAGCCTTGCAATGAGACTATCACAGCTTCTGAACTTGCGTGGCTATTCCTCAAGGTGGTCTTTAAATATCATGGAATTCCTGGACACTGGATCTCAGATAGGGGAGCAGTTTTCACTTCAAACTTTTTTAAGGAGTTCTGTAAACTCTTAAACATGGAACAACGCATTTCTACAGCTTATCACCCTCAAACAGATGGCCAGACAGAGAGAGTCAACTCTGTACTTGACAATATCTAAGAATTTATACAAACTATGCTCAAGACAACTGGGCAGATCTTCTCCATCTTGCAGAATTTGCTTACAACAACACAATCTCTAACACCACAAAAGAGACGCCTTTCTATGCAAACTATGGTTATCACCCTAGGTTTGAAGTGGCACAACTTAATTGTCCTGAAAATCTCAAAAACCCTTCTGCTACTGAAAGAATCATCTACCTTAAGGGCCTCCAGGACTATCTCAAGGTCCAAATACAGCGTGCACAAGACGAGCAGGCTCAGGCTTTTAACAGGGGGGTGGTTGCACCACAATTCAAAGTTGGTGATCAAGTCTTTTTGTCTAGAAGACATATCACAACTACTAGACCTTCAGACAAACTTGATACTAAAAGACTTGGACATTTTAAGATCACAAGGACTATTGGCAAGAATGCTTTCGAGCTTGCATTGCCACCTACTTGGACTATCCATAATGTTTTCCATGCATCTCTCTTGTCTAAGGCACAAGAAAGTTCCTTAAGACCACTTCAGTCTCCTCCACCTCCTGTTCTGATTTTGGATCAACCAGAATATGAAGTAGAGTCTATCCTTGACAAAAAGATACCTAGAGGTCAGGACTACTTCCTCGTTAAGTGGAAAGGCTATCCTACAAGTGACAACACTTGGGAGCCTAAGAGAAATCTAAAAAATGCATCTAAGCTCATTCTAGAATTTCTTTCTAAGAAAGCCAACTGGCTAAAGGGCAAGCAGACAGCTAACAAACGTCCTTAAGAGGGGGATCATGTCATACTGACATTCGTTGCACTCAGTTTGCTATCAAACTCAAGACCAAACTTAGAAATCTCCTCCTCAAACCTACAAGTCACTATACATATTTTGGCTTGTCACACCAAGAACAAGAGAAATACTACTCAACGATTGCTACAACCCTCTATGATTCATTACATGTCATTGCTCCTTAGTTACTGGGCCGATATGACCACATAGCATATCTCTACAACCCTCTATGATTCATTACATGACATCACTCCTTAGTTACTGGGCTAATACTACACATGACATATCTCTATCAACTAGAGGCCTAGGAACATGAACGATAGCTCCAAAAGCTTCTACAACCCTCTATGATTCATTACACGTCATTGCTCCTTAGTTACCCACAAGATTGGTTAAGTTATGACATAATTTGTCTATAGGGGTACTCTGCCCTCGGACCTCCTTTCACTTCCTATAGGCTAGGAAGCTAGGAGATGGTTCTATGGGATTCTCTTACGTCGACTACAGTTACCAAGCCTGGTTAGTCATGGAAAGACTTGGAAAATGAGAGAACTACACTCCTTTTGTAAGGATGCCTTCTCGTCTCTCATTGTAGGGAGTAGACTTTGGGTAGCTGGAGCATCATGTGTGATTATTTGGGTGGGCTAACCGAGTCGGAACCGAGTCGGATGGGTTTCGGGTACTTCAGAGAATCACGGGGTTCCCCCATCATCTTTTTTGTATCCTTCGTAGTAGACCTATAGGATAGCATCCGTTTAGCCTCCGACTCGCACTCTCATATATTATTACTGTGAGCTGGGTGCTCCTGTGTCCTTACATTATACAAAAAAGATCACGCCTGCTGGGGACGGCCGTACTTCAATAATATCCCAAACCGGAACGACGCAGAGAACTACCGTTACACCATCCACTGCGACTCGGTGACGTTTCAGAGGAGAGACCTGACGACTTCAAATAGCCGTGATTCCAGAGATCTCACGGACAGCCAGTGGATCAGGGTTTGATTCTTCAGAACAAGCTGGTAAAGTCGCCGATGCGTTGGCGCCAAATAGGATACGAGATCCTTAAGAACCCCCTCATAGCACAGAGGAAATTGTGGACAAGAGCGTTGATAGCTACAAGCTACCGGAAGTCAAGCTCTTTCGTATCGGACACGATACACACCCGAGGCAATATGTCGAAAAAGCCGACATCAAACATACCCCAAGACAAGGACGGTCAACTGTCCAGAATGACTACCAGACAAACCACTGCTGCAGCTACGACCGCTGGGCCATCCGAAGACATCCCGAGTCGAATGGAGCACAGATACGGGAGGTCAAGGATCTACTAGTTATCCTGTCGGTATCCCAGACTAGAATCCCGTCCACACCGCCGGTGGACGCCCCAATACCCACAGTCGAATCTACGGAGCAACGAACGCCTCGCACACGAAACACCCCCGAGACAGTTCAATTGCCGCGTCTTCGGAACACTCGTTCTCCCTCAATTCCAGGGTCGTCACGAATGCACACCGAGGACCCTCCAAATCGCTATAAGAAATCAACCATCCTCTGAGAAAACCCTTCCTCTCAGCGATGGGGTAGAACATACCTTCTTACAATGGAGCGCTTCGATTCGGGATCGACTCGTAGTCAATGATGACCACTACCTTACCGACGTCTCGAGAAGAGTGTTGATATGGGGAACTACGACCGGCCTGGCGAAGACCTACCTAGAGCCCCAATACCTGTCCGCTACGCATGGGTTCCGCAGTGCTGAGGAGATGATGGATCTACTAGGTTCATACTACCTCACAGGCAACGAGACAGAACAGGCCAGGAACCTCTTTGACGACCTGCAAATGGGAGAGAAAGGGCATGCTGCCGAAACCTTCCCAGAGTTCAAGGCTCGTTTCCAAAGCGCAGCTTCACAGGACAAGTCTCCAAGTCGGAATGGTTTCGGTACATGTGGAACAAGTTGACTCCCCAATTCTGCAGCTGCGTCGTGATCATCAAAAACCAATGGAATGGAGAATACCAGACCATGGTACGAGAACTTACTGCCTTTGATCAGGAACGGCGCCGGAACAACGAATTGAACCCGCTACCCGCTCTCGCAAGGACGTCCACACGTACCACAGATACGGCAAAATTGTCGGTGCCGACTCGAGCCACACCCGCTCTGTTTACCCGAACCGCGTTCCTCCCCAAGCCAGCCATACCGGAACGTGTGAGAACCACAGTCCCTGCGCCCTCAGGAAACTGTTTCAAGTGTGGCAAGCCTGGCCATTTCCAGGACAAATGCCCCCTTAACGCTACTATCAAGTAAATGGACCGTAACGACCCCGAGGCTGAAGAACAATGGGAAGAAGCCGTGGAACTTCAATCAGATGCGTCCCTCGAGGAAAACGACGAGGCCTAGGAGAAGGCTCCTTCCTAGGTCTACGCAAATGTGACCTGCGAGGACTAGACTTACGAGAACTCCTGGGAGGCACCCAGTTCTTAGTCGACACGACCCTGAGTATGAATGGACTCGGGGTGCAAACGAAGTCCCTAGCAGACACAGGAGCAAACGGCTACCTCGTCATTAACAAGCCTTTCGCAATACGACTGTCGAAAGCGCTTCAGAGCCCCATACGGAAACTACCCTACTCTGTACCCATACGTGGATTTCAGCGCAAAATCCAAGGCCATGTATCGGAGTATATTCAGTTACACTTAACAGTTCAAGGACGCCAGATATATAACTGCCCCTTTGTACTCCTGGACCTCGGAGCACAAGATGTGATAATTGGGAAGAAGCTTTTCAGCCGCTTCCGAATACTACTCGACTCTGCAGCTGGTTAGTATGGCCAAAGGAGTACCCGCCGACTCCTAGCTGGAGCTATCCACGAACTATCCTGAATATCTAGCTATCCGCCAACTATCCAGTTTACCCACGAGGCATGACGCCACTATATAAGTAGATAGTATTTCCTTAGATAGGAGCTTCGTGCTCAACTCAATATAGTATTCTTTACAATACTGTAACGTGTTACTTGGAAAGCCTTTGTGTCTAATACCCTGCCTCCTCTGTCAAGTCAACCTTATGCAAGAAACCTCTGTGTCTTCTATCGTTTAGAAGTCAGTGTTACACCTGGCCCTTTGCATGGGGTTACTTCGACCCTTCGTCTCTCATGGTGGTAGCGGCTTGTTGCGACGACAGTGAGACGTTTGGGAAGGGTGGCTCCCGCAAGTGTTAGGGTGGTGAGTGCGCCCTGGCTCGGAGGGTATTTCTAGCTTAGAGTCGCAGATAGTAATCACTCTGTTTCTTCCGCTTTGTCTTTTCCTCCATGATCGTAGTTTTGTTCCTTTCCCGTATGCCCTGCCTGTAATGGTGGGTGCACCAGATGTGAGAATCTAGCCACCCAAGGAAGGGATGAATTTACTAAGACAACACACTGTCTTAGAAAACAGAGCCAAAGGATCGTAGCTTAGACTATTCCACAACGCAGCAATCAGGTGTGTGATGTAGTGAAGTGGTTCAGACAAGTTGCAACAAATGTTGAGTCTGGGAACTCAGGGGTAAGTCAGAGGTTAACACCTCACTGACTTTTCAGAAACAAGGAGTAACAAGATCAATGCTTGGAAGCTTGGAAAAGACGTGGAAGTATGTGATAGTTGATTTACTGTATTGTCTGCTTGCCCTTTCTTAAGGAAAGGGCAATCCTATTTATGCTAAAGGAGTGTAGTTCTCTCATTTTCCAAGACTTTCCATGACTAACCAGGCTTGGGAACTATAGTCGACGTAAGAGAATCCCATAGAACCATCTCTTAGGTTCGTAGCCTATAGGAAGTAAAAGGAGGTCCAAGGTCAGAGTACCCCTATAGAAAAATTATGTCATAGACAAATTATGTCATAGACAAATTATGTCATAGACAAATTATGTCATAACTTAACCAATCTTGTGGGTAACTAAAGAGCGATGACATGTAATGAATCATAGAGGTTCGTAGGAGCTTTTAGAGCTATCGTTCATGCTCCTAGGTCTCTAGTTGGTAGAGAGATGTCATGTGGTAGTATGAGTGATGTCATGTAATGAATCATAGAGGGTTGTAGAGATATGCTATGTGGTAATATCGGCCCAGTAACTAAGGAGCGATGATGTGTAATGAATCATAGATGGTTGTAGCAATCGTTGAGTAGTATTGCTCTTGTTGTTGGTGTGATAAGCCAAAATATGTATAGTGACTTGTAGGTTTGAGGAGGAGATTTCCAAGTTTGCTCTTGAGTTTGATAGCAAACTGAGTGCAACGAATGTCAGTATGACACTGCCGTAACCCCTCCGAGTAGTTCTTGAGGTGGTCCTGGTAAATCTGGGTATTCCGTATGAAACTCTCAGAGTTTATGGGGAGAGTTCGTGAAGTTTGATGCTGGGTACCACTCCGGGTCCGGATCGTATCCGACCCAACTAACCTGGTATTGTAGTTGCTTCCGGCGGAGCCTTACAGTGAGGATCTTTTCCACTTCCCACTCCTCTACGCCGTCTATCACTTTGCTGCTAGGCTCAGGCGGATCTTGGCCAGGTAGGGGATTGTTCGGATCTGGTGGGAACACATCGTGTATTTGAGAACCGGTAGGTAGTTCCAATCGAAATGCATGCCCAATCCGTTCCAACACCGTATATGATCCGACCCATTGTTGGCCCAGCTTGCGGCTAGGACGAGAGTTTTTCAAATTTTTAGTCGATAGGTACACTCTATCTCCTACGTCCCAGTCGATGGCCTTCAGCGTCGATTCGCGTGCTTAGACATTTCCTCTTGTGCCTTTGCCATGTTTTCCTTTGCGTGGACCCATGTGGTATGCATTCGGTCTGCAACCGCCTTGGCTTCCTCTCAGTTTAGGGTCTCCCAGGGGTTGGTGCTTTTCAGAGTGTTCCAATTCCAACTCGTACGCGGATCGGTTCTGTACTTGAGTCGGTAGGGGGTCATGCCAATGGATGCGTGGGGGAGTGTCATTTGAACGCGGTCCATTATGGGGATGAGTTCGCTCCAGTTATCCTGATAATGGGATACGAAAGGCCTCAGTCTTTGATCGATGTATCGGTTCATGATTTTCGTCTGCCCATCAGTCTGCTTATGATAGACAGTCGACAGCTTAACCTTAACGCCGATAATTCGACAGAACTCTTGCCAAAAGGATGATACGAATTGGGGTCCACAGTCGCTTACAATCGACTCCGGAGTGTGTCCGAATCGGTATATCCATTCGATGAACAATTGCGCCATCTGCCGGGCAGTTGTGGTTTTGTAGCAAGGTATGGTCACTGAACTCTTTCTGAGTCGGTCCATAAACACTAAGATGCTATCGTATCAGTGCTTGTCCCTTGGGAACTCCTTGAAGTCCATGGTGAGGTGTTGCATAGGATATTCGGGTACGGGTAGTGGGTGTAGGAATCCTTGTTGCTTAGTGACATTGGTGTGACAAAGCCGGCATGTCACGCAGTTTCGTACATACTGCAAACAGTCCGCTTCCATCCCGACCCAATGATACTTTGGAGCAAGCAATTGGTAGGTTTTCCTGCCACTTGGATGTGCTGACGACACTTGATCGTGCGCTTCCCGGATCAGTTTTGTACATAGGTCGGTGTGGCGATTCACACATAGGCGGCCTTTGTACAGGAGGAGCTGGTCGTTCATCGTGAATCCATCCGGTAGTGGTTGTTTCACGCGAGTCTCGGTGAATGACTTCCGATTGTCCGCGCATAGCGCCTCTATTAAATTGAAGGGCACCTGGGGCTTGGGGGTGTCCATCGTATTAATGGATGCTATGTAGCTCTCGGCGAGTTTGGTGCTGATTCGGGGGTGCAGGCGGCTTGGACCTAACAATACCCTCGCCCTACTATCAAGCTTGACTTTCTGCTGCGTTACCAAGAACTGGTTTCTTCGGCTCAGAATATCTGCCTTCTGGTTATTCTTGCCCCATCCATCTAACCTGCTTCGCGGTGAGAACCTTGGTAGACATGAAATATTCCAGCAAACGGTGGTCAGTGTACACGTCGACTCAGTGGCGCACCGAAGCCAACTCGGGCCTCCATTTTCCGAAGGCCTTTACTATTGCGAAAAGTTCCTTGTCGTGGATCTCCCAGTTGATCTCATGTCCGGATATGACATGACTGTAAAAGCTTACGGGGTACCATCGCTTGTCAGGGTGTTCTTGAGACAGGACACCAGCTACCACTCTTATCAGAGGAGTCGGTCTCCAGCTTCGTAGGCAATTTGGGGTTGAAGTGGTGAAGTGCCTGTACCGCTAAAAGTTGTCGTCGCAATTCCTCGAACGCATCCTCACATTCGTCTGTCCACCGGAATGGCTCCGATGGACTAGTGATGGTGGTGAGGGGCTTTGCTATTTTGCCAAAATTGCGAATGAATTGTCTATAGAAGCCACAGAATCCCAGGTAGGACTTCACACCCGTAACAGTGGTCGGTCAGATCCAGTTACGAAGGGGTTCGATTTTGTCGGGGTCCGCTTCGACACTGGAGGTAGTGAGAACATAACCCAAGATTTTGTCCTGGTGACGTTGAACTCGCATTTGTTCAAATCGGCTTGGAGCCCAGCTTCTCGGAGTCACTGTAGGACCTTATGCACTTGCTCTATGTGTTCCGTAGGGTACTCTGAATAGATGGTAGGTTGCGGGACCGTTTGTCAGGCCAAACGGCAACACTTTGCATTTGTAGGTTCCATAGCGAGTCCGAAAGGTAGTATACTCTTCTGAGTCGGGGTGCATTAGTATATGATGGAAGGCCTGCCTAATATCTAGCTTCGTGAAGATTTTTGCTTTCGACACCCGTCCTAGTAGTTAGCCGATACGCAGAATGGGGTAGGGATCATTTCGGGTGAGACCATTTAACTTCCGGTAATCGATGCAAAATCTTAATTTGCCATCCGCTTTCTTTACGAATAGGAGAGGAGACGCGAAGGGGCTGTTGCTGTTGACGATGAATCCATTTTCCAGGTTTTCCAGCAGGTATTGCTTGTTAGCCTTAAGCTCTTCGGTGCCCTGTCGATATAACGGGGAGAAAGCGTTTGGTAAAGGGGCTTCGAGCTGTATCTTGTGGTCGTATATGCAGTGGGGGGGAATTCAATCCGATTCCAACTTCGAAAAGACATCAGTGTACTTCCCGTACATATGCGGAAGCTTCTGCTGGATGAGGCGGAGCGTTTCTTCATCCTCTACCAACTCCTTTTCATGAATGATCTGATCGATTTCGTAGATGCTAGTCTGAAAAAACTCGGAGTCGTTTCACATCATCTCGTGGTGGAAAGCATTTGCACTGATTTCGCATATA